GCCCCGCGCAGCGCTGCAGGCGCAGGCGCCCCTCCGCCGGCGACCCGCCCCGCCGTGGCTCCGTGGCGCCAAAACCTATTATATTTTTGTCAAAGGCGTTACAGATTGGGCTGGCGTCTTGGCGAGAGAAAAACGAGCGGTGCTGCAGTTTAACAAAACAATGGTTCGCTTTGGTACGCTTGTACCCTCCCCCCCAGCCCCCCAGCGTCCCGACACACCGGAAGGGCTCGGCCCCGGCAGCCGCCGCGGCTAGGAGGCAAGAGGGAGGGCACACGCCGCAGGTCAGTGCTGATGAGTGGCCAACAGGCGTCCAAAAACGCCCCCGACGGTCGGCGCGCTGGTGGCCTTGCCATGGCGTTTGACCCGTGTCACGCTGAGTGCAGGTTCCCTATCCCGACCCCGAGCGCCGCCCACGGCCAGCGGCCTGGCGGCGCGCGCGCACGCTCGTGTGTTTTGCGCGTGCGTTTTTGCATGCATGCTCATCCACAAGTTGCTGCCGGCGAGTGAGAGCTTTCGCGTGTTTTTGTGTCCGTTTTTGGGGGGGTGGGCGTGGCCTTCGATCGGTGGCCTGCCACCGCCAGCACCCTCGTGCGTGGCAGCATGCGGCGCGCAGGCCGCGGCCGCCAGCACATCAATAAGCCAACAAAGCAAGGAGAAAGACGGACGGCGGGCGGCCGGCGGCGGTGCGGCGGCGGCTTCGATTGGGGCTGGGGGTGGAGGGGCTCCAGTGGGGAAACAAAACCAATGGGGAGTGCGCTGGAGGGGCGTGGGCCTCTGAGAATGGGCGCGCCCCAGCGGCGCACGCGGGACGCACGCTTGGAAGGCAAAAGACAGGCCGCGAGGCCGGCGTCGAGTGGCGCGCGCATGCGCGCGCGTGGGGCATGCACGCCCACGCATCGCCTCTTCGCGCGCCGCGCCAGGGCGCGCCGCGCGCCAGACGACGGAGGGCGGTCCGTGCCGCGCCGGCGGCGAGGCGTGCGTGCCCCCCTCGCGCGGTTGTGCGTGGGTGGGCGGGAGCCGCCAGCAGCCGCGCCGTGCGCCGCGCGCAGCCAGGGGCGTGGGGAAAACATGGCGGATTTGGGCGTGAATTGAACCTGGGCCACGGCGCGGGGAAATGTAGGGTGACGACGAAGGGGAAAGCTTTCGGCGCGCATGTGCGCAGATAGCATACTGTGAAAGTGTGAAAGGGGCGAGTTGTGCGTGTGATGTTGGGGTGTTGGGGTGTGCGTGTGTTTGTGTGTGTGCATGCGTGTGGGTGAGTGTGTGTGTTGGGCCAGGCAGCCAAGCCGCGGCCGCGCAACCATCCGAGCAAATCAGTCATGGCGGCAGTTGTCGGATTCAAACACTTTGACACGAGGCAACGCGGGCGGCGCAGCGGTGACCCCCTCCGCCAATTGGATTTTCTGGGGCCGCGTTTGCGCACGAGCGTTCGCGTTGAGACCGCCGCTCGACAGCGCAGCGGCGCGCGCGCCCGCGCGCCCGCCGACGCGCGCACGCTGGCCGCCGGCAGGCGCGCGGCGGGGGCAGGTGCGGGGCGGGCGCCACGCGGGGCAATGGAAGGCTGGGGGCCGATGCAATTTCAGGGAGGGGCATAAGTGCAACGCTTCAACAGTTGGGGGGCGGGAGAGCCCGCGGGGCGGCGCGGCCACACGCTGGCGGGCGTCGTGGTAGGGTCCGACGCGCGCGCCTCTCGGCCGCCAACAATCACCCAGGCGCGGCAGACGAGGGCATGCATGCATGCGGGCGCCGCAGCTAGGAAAAGCAGGCCGTTCAGTTCCCCGGCCGCTGCCCTGAGACGGGTGGCGGCCGGGGGCTTGAGCAGGGGGAGGCCGGCAAAACAATGGTGCAATGGCGAGCCGCGGGGGGTTGTTGCGGCGATTTTTTAGAACGGGAAAGAGTGGGTCGGTCGGCCGTGCCGCGGCCGCTGTAAAACAGGTGAGGGTTGAGGCGTCCGGCGGGGCATAGGTGCATCCATAGGGGGGGCCCGCCGGGGGCCGCGCGCCCGCCGCTGCCAGCAGGGCGAGGCGGCGGCGGGCGGTGGCGGCGGCTGGCGCGCGCGCGGGGCCAGGGTTTTGAGGCCAGGGTTTTGCACCGACAGGCCGGGTGACGAAGACAGGGGCTAGGGGGCCCGCAACCACCCTTGTGAGCGCGGCGCCAGACCCCTCTGCGCACCAGCCGCGGGGATGCCCGTGAGAGCAGCGCCCATGAGCTGCTCGCGGACAGTTTTCTAGGGGGTGAGTGCCGGGAGGCTGGCCGCCCCTCCTTTTGCTGCAAAAGGCGGGGCCCGCAAAAGCCAAGCGCGGGCCATGCGCAGCCCCGCGGTGGCGCCAGGCCGCACCGCGGCGCCGCGCTGCGGGGCGCGCCGCAGCGCCACGTGGCGATGCGGGCGTGAGGAGGGGGACAGCCGCGCGTCCAAAAGCAGCGAGTGGTTGCAAGAAACTAAGTTCTCGTAGGAAGCTTTGTGCGGTCGCGGCGCAGGCGGGCGGTCGCCGAGAGGTGGGGACCCAAAGCCCGGCATCAGGGCACGGTGACTAAGGCGTTGGGTGTGGGGCAGCTGCTCGGAGGGGGAGCGGCGGAGGGAAGGGGGCGGCGCAGGCGCGGGGCCCCTCCCAATATGCGACGGTGGTCTTAGGGGAGTGCTCAGTTCAAGGCTTCCCACCCGGACGCAAGTGCCGCCTCGAAAACTGGGACAACAGGGGAGGCGTCGTGCACGCGCGCGCGCGCGTGTGTGCGAGCCTCCAGGCACGATCGCGTCCGGCCGGGCGAGCACGTGCGGGAGCCGCCTTCCGGCAACCCGCACGTGCGGCCCGCCAGGGCTGCGGCCCGTCAGGGCCGCGCTTCTGAGGACGGAACGACGTGCGATGCAGAGCGCGACGCGAAGCGTTGACGCGTCGACGCCCCACATCCCATGGGCGGGCCAGCCGACCTCCGCCCGCGGCCACCCCTACGCCTAGCCCCTCCCCCCGCCCGCCGCGCGGACGCGCACGAGCGCCCGCCGGAGCGCCGCCACGGGCGGCGCCCACGGCGCGCACGCGGCGAGCAGCGTCGCGGCCTGCAGCGGGTTGAGCACGCTCCCGTAGAACGTGAGCGCCGCCACCTGGCACGCGGCGCCGGCGGCGCCGAGCGCTGACGTCAGCGCCAGTGTGACGTCATCGAACCTGGGGGTATCGTAGGGGTCGGTGGCCGCCAGCCGGGCGGCGGCGGCGGAGAGCGCCGCGGTGGCGGGCTCGAAGCGGGCCGCCCACAGCGCGAACAGGTCGAGCGCGGCGTCGAGCTGCCGTAGGGCGGTATTTCCC